CATTGAGAGTACACCTTAGCTGGTTGAGTGGAGAAGAGCCGGTTAATCCTTCTGGATTCATTCTCCCTTGTGTATCTCTTTAGGCGGCTGGCCAAGGCTTGGAGGTATGGGCATCTGGCTGTACTTTCTGGGTACTGGTCTTTTCATTGTACCCTTGTGGAGCTCTGACAGTTGGCTCACTTCCCTCCTTGTTACCTTGATTTTAGCCTCTAACCGTCTTTTCCATGGTGGGTATTCTCATGGTTGCTCTTATAGCCAAGTATCTCAAGGATCACTGATGCTGAGTTGTAGATCAGCTCATTGGTTTCTGTTATGGTGTTGGTAGGGATCATTCTCAATGCTGCATTCACATTCTCAATGAGACTTTCTGATGGTACTTCACTCAGCCGTTGTAATTGGCGCCGAGGAGGCCTGGTTGTCATTCGGGTCATGATTCTCTCTCTCAGGTCAGCAGCTGTCTCGTTCAGCTCTGTTTCGCTCATTGGGGCCATGTATCCCCTCACTGGGTGGGGACTTGTAGTTAAGTCCCCACAGTTCTGACATCCGGGTTCCTCCCTTTTGCCGTAGTATTTGTGTTGTATCTCGTCAATCTCAAGTTGTGATAGCAGTTGCCGTTTGCGGATGTTGGAACACTTAAGCTACTAGTTGTTTAGCGCTTAGTGTTGACTGGGGATGTCGAAGTAACATTCCTTCCCCAGTCTTTGCATGTAACCTCTCTCACTAGGGTTACTTGAGTAGTAGCATTCCAACAGATCCACATCTCTCGCCCATTTCCGTCTTGTTCCAGTAGCCCATTTGTCATCAAGGTGCTCTGGTTCCCCAACACCTGACGCAGACCTTGTTTGGCCGGTCGACGTCTGAGCCGGCATGTTACGCAACTTAGTATCTCTCATGGTATGAGGTAGGCAGTAGCTTGAAGGTCTTGCCTAAGGACCAGACTGGATTCGAACCCTGCCCTCTCGGGTGATATACTGATGCCTTATGTATTGAGCTATCCAGTCAGCATATATATATATATATATATATATATATATATATATATATATATATATATATATATATATATATATATATATATATTATGTATATATATATATATATATATATATATATATATATATATGTATATATATATATATATATATGTATTTTTATTTTTTTGCGCCCCAATTTTCTCTTTACAACAATCTTACAACGACCTGCAGTGTGCGATGTGTTACGTGGTGGCGTGTTGAATATATCCCGATCTAAAATCGCGCATATTCAACATTGTCTTGGCCCGATTATCGCAGCCTGTGGGGTTTTCCCTGACGAACGCAGCCTGTTGAATGTGACAGGTAGCCAATCAGAAAGCTATTCCCCTCCGTAAGAATGGAGAGGAATCCCAAACAGTTGACATGGTGCAACCGAGAGTCTGGTGATATTTATTACTAAATGTAAAGGTTATTTTTATATGTTTATTTTTATATATGTTTTTTATTAGAGAAGTTTGGAAAATCAGCTGACAATCCTTAAATTATGCCGTGTGAACCAGACCTCAAACTCACAAACACTAGTCCTCTTATTTCGTCTCAACCACTGCCCTAACACTCTCTGACTCTGGTCGCTATGGTAACGTTTACATATCCCTTCAAAATAAGATATAGATGGGCCACAAAAACGAACATTTTACTTTCGTGAAAATTGTAACTCAACTAATGGGAGCCCTGAGCTTGTTTCTCTGCAGCAATACAGTCCCATCTGGGAGTGATAAGAAACAATGACACCCAAAGTGTTGCTTTTGCACAGGATGCTTGGTCTCTACTTGGCGAAGCAGTTTGAAGGCTTCATTCCCTCATTAGCGAGCCGGTCACCATATCATGCAGAGCAGCTTGGAATGTGGAAATAATCTACCGGGATGAATCCATTCTCATGTCTCTTCTCTGATCTGTTTCTTACTCATTTTGCTGCTTGTGGGCGCAACGTTGGCGCGCAAGACGGATTTTCAAAATAAAAGATTTTCCAGACATGAATAATACATAAAACGGAAATATTTAATTATTTCTTGCTCGACCCGGTACCAATTGGTCCGCGGACCGATACCAGACCGGGGGTTGGGGATCACTGAACTAACTGAGACATTCCTGATGCTTACCTTAACAGAATCATCGTCCCAGATGGTCCTGACAAAGAAGTCCAGTTATGCAAATCAGAGCATAAAATTATTTTCTAATTTGAATAAGAACAATAGTAACAACTTTGAGGTTAATTTAGAAATTCTCCTGTCGGACTTCAATTATATGGTTGTCAAAGTAACAGAAAATGGCATGCTTTACAGAAAAAAAAACAATTGGATAAAGCTTCATGAGGTTATAAATATACATACAAAATCTCTGGTGGTAAGGACAACAATGATGTGGAGTACAAAAGAGAGAAACATGACATTTGTTAATAAAGCCAAAAAGCCCTGTCGCTTTAATCGAACCTCCTAATTATTCCTCTAGAGGTCCAATTAGCTTAAAAATGGCTGAACATAAAACAAATCACTGGTTCGGCAAGATGCCGATGGATTAGATGGATGCTGTTTCAATAGCGTTTCAGACAAGTTCGAGTTTTGAAACAAAGTTCTTCTGCTTTGCTTGCTAAACTTTAATTATTGAATGGCACAAAAATGAAACCCTTGAGCCAACACAAAGCTGGACCAACATGCAAAAGATAACCCAGCAGTCTTTTTTGCAAATGAGCTCTTGGAGATGGGCAAGCAACAAATTGTGTTGGTTCTAGTCTTACATCATATACTCATGCGGGATAACTCCCTTAGCGCATATCGAGCTTAACTAACAAACTTTCACCTAAACTTAGAAAAGAGAGAAACAAATTATAAAAAAGATAACTGAAGAGTGTAAGTCAGGGGTCTCAAACTCCAGTCCTCGAGGGCCGGTGTCCTGTAACTTTATTTCTACAAGTTAGCAGGGGGATGCGTTTTATGGCACAGCCTATTATCAACCTGCCAAAATATGCTTACCCTCTCTATTTTCCTCAAATGTTATCCTATTGATATGAAACTCATACCAGCAATTAAGGGAACAAATGTGATTATGTAGAAAAAGCTATTTCACTCGTAACTGTTTGTTTTTTTAAGCTTGGGGGGGATGCATTTTTTGGCAAAATGAATTTTGAGCTGCCGATATTTGCATGCCCTATCTATTTTTCCCAAGTATTGTCCTTTTGGTATGAAACAATACCAGTAGCACAGAGAACAGGGATGATTATGAAGAAAAGGGAAATCCTTCCTAACTCTCTATTTGACAGAGTTAGCAGGGGATGCATATTTTGGCATAGCAAATAATGAGCTGCCGATATTTGCAAGCCCTGTTTTTATTTGATCTTATGAATTAATTATATCACAACAAAGGGTAAGACAGCAATAAGTGGTACTGCAATCACAGTCAAGAAACCCCCAGCAGACACAGATTGATGGCTGTGAACTACTTAAGAGTTAGATTTGATTAAAGTGAGTTCTTAATATCTGTCCCTTGGCTCCACCTTATGATGGAGGGATTTTAGTGCCCCAATGATCCGAAGAGCTATGCTGTCTAGTGCTTCATTCCAAAGGAAGGACCACCCAAGGCAGACAGGTCCTAGGTGAAGTACCAAGACAAAGTGCAACCCTAAGACCCCAATGATGAAGAAAACATTTCGATTTCGTGTTCCCTCGGCCGGATGCGGGCCACTGGGGCCCCAATCTGTTTAGAGCGATGCGCGCTCCCGCGACAGGGGATGCAATTCTCGGCATAACAACTGTTAGAAACTTACTGAAAGATAGTCATCGGCTAGCGGTTGAAGCCACCATTTCTCTCTCGTGGTTGGATTGCCGCCACGCGATACTGATAGTAATATTTCACAGACATAGCGCTGTTCTACCTCTACCAGCCAGTGGACTCTCACATTGAAAAGCTGCTTAAAGCTGCAGCATGTAGCTTAAAAAATACAAACGTTTTACTTGTATTAAAACGTACGCTGTCCTAACATGAGACTGATAAGCTCTGAAAAGCAATCGAGCTCTTCTGCTTCCTCCTTGTGTTCTGCAGAATAACTCTGCTCTGTCAGAAAATCCCACTAGCAAAAAATAATTAGCAGTGCTCTCAGGCAGTTTTGATTTAGAAACTTTTGAATGCAAGCTGCATTTGACTTAGAATTAATGTTTTCTTTTTCACTTGGAATTTTTGGAGGTTTGTGAGATTTATTTGATTGCTTTAGATTAGACTGTTGAGAAGTTTGCTATGAAATATTATTTTACTTTAGTGATTTGCAGGTCCTTTTTACTGAATGCTGCATTATGCCTTCAATATGTTTCATCTTTTTTTTTCTAAATCTGGTGAATTTATTACCAGATGATATTTCGATTTTACCAGATCACATAGTTTTATTTATACCTAAATTAACAGCCAGTTAGATCGGCAATGATTGGTGATCGGCAGTGATTCGTATCGAGCCTCTACTAAAAATACATTTAAGATATGCTGAATTATGGTGTCATTCAAGACATCATTAATTAGAATTGTGACTAGTCAAAACTAAGTTGATTTGGAGGCTACAACCAATTGAGATATCATTTAATTCAATTTATGGTTAGTCATTTAATTGTACATATCATGAATTGAAGTATCAATTCAAGTCAATGGTAAATCTGACGTCATTTTGTCTAGTCACAATGTAATTAGAATTATCTCAAATAAGTATTTTGTCTAGTCAAAATATAATTAGAGATATCTTAAACTGCTAAAACGTTTAGCCTTGAACACATTTCAGAGATAGGAATGGAAGGGCGGTAAAACCAAATTTATGTTAAATTTTAACATACTCGCCATATATATTGTCCATATTCCAGTAGTGTCAGACCAGATTCTGATGTCTGTGGGGTGAACCACTGTGACGTCAGTCCAGGACGTGAGTGGCGCAGACAGTTATAAAGTACCTTGCATCGGACTCGAGGAGAGAGAATTCTCAGAAATGCAATAGTGACAGCGGTCCTCTGTGATCTTCCTGCAGGGAAATAAGCGCTACTTGCCCGCAATAACAGCAGCTTTCACCGGAGCCGACCCCACTGATCTCCCACTGGATTTACGTGCAGTCCGGAAGCCCGACACATCAGAAGCAGTCTGGGGTGTATTAGAGAGTTGGCAAACTCTGTACCGTTAATTCAGAAGGACGTGTTCTTGTAGAACGGACCACAAGCAGCAGCAGCACAGGCTCTGCTGACCACTAGAACTCGTACTGGGAGAGTACGGGCTTTTTTCATTTTAAAAAAATGAAATCACTTGTAAATTGTTAATGTTGTAATTCAGGCTACGGCTCCCGACGATGAGTTGGTTTGGTTCTCATCTGACTCCTATTGGACTGACTATATGGACAGCAGCGCGGCTCGAATCATTTTGCTTCTGACGTTTCTCCTGTTCTCCTTCATGCTGCTCCTCCGGCTGACCTGGACTCTGACTGCCACCGCAAGTTGCTTCCTGCTTCTCCATAACCACCTGCTGAGTGCTGGTACGGAATAGTTTGCCAATATGAACACAAAGCTGAAGTTGGTTTCAGATTCCAGCTTCCAGGGGTGTGTGTGTGGGGGGGTGTGTGTGTGTGTGTGTGTGTGTGTGTGGTGGGGGTGCATGTGTGGGTGGGTGTGTGTGTGTGTGGGGGGGGGGGGGGAGCAAAATTAACATATAACATACGACTGCCAAGTTCTATGCATTTTTGCTGGTTTGCTGCATGATTCTAGCATATCTGTGTGGCAGCAGGTCACCTTCAAAATTGAAATCAGGTCTTTTGCTTAGTGAACACATCAAGTGGCATCGACTGAAATGTCATGTAATTAGATCATTTTCTCTTTGAATGCTGTCACTCAGGTCATCTGGTTGCAGGAACCTGTGAGATCATAACTCTGAACCAAGACAACAGCCAACCAAGGACAACTATTGCCCATCAAACAGTCCGTTGCGCATGCATGAAAGGACAGATTGCTGGGACAACACGAACCAAACCGGCCTGTGTTGAAGGTATTATTTTTACTTTTCTCCAAAGGTTGAAGATTTTTATGAAACCTGCCCTAAAAAAAAAAACATATTGAGCATACAGGATAAGTACCAAATGTGAACTAGAGTTCTTTCTTCACACTTCACTTTATTGTGTGAGCTCAGCCAGTCCATGCAGTGTTTCCTCTGTTTGCATTTTCCTTCAACACACATGGATTGTATACATAAGACTTCAATTAAGTGGTATCAAAAAAAGTAATTTTGTTCTTAAAGATGGTTAGATTTTATGCTTACTTATTATTTTTTCTCTGGAGAGTCTTTTAAACAGCAGAAAAGCTGAGAACTGTAAGGACACATCCATCCATCCATCCATCCATCCATCCATCCATCCATCCATCCATCCATCCATCCATCCATCCATCCATCCATCCATCCATCCATCCATCCATCCATCCATCCATCCATCCATCCATCCATCCATCCATCCATCCATCCATTTTGTAACATCCTTGTCCCTAGCAGGGTCTGGAGTGGTTGTAAGGACACAAATGCTATTTATTTTATTTCATTCATTGTTTGAATGCATTCTTGGACTAGAATTAAGTTGAAATAAGTTCTGTGAATCATGGTTATGTTCATATTTTTCTACTGCTACTGAAAAACATTTCAGCATTATACAGAGCCCATCATGGTACATGGAGAAAATAAAAAATAAAAAGCACATATGCCCAGAAAATTCAAGGACCCTTCACCACAGCCTGGTTCATGTGGAAGGGCATCAAGTGCATCACAGACTAAAACATTAGGGATGCACAATGTCCAAGGGACCCCTCATTGCCAGATGCACTGAATAAGTCCACTTTGAGGATCCTAACATCCCCCCTCAGCACCAGAATAAAACCACTACCTGGTGACACGCCTCTCTGTGTGACCACAGGGGAAATCCCTCCAGGAAAATTAACCCTTGTAAGACTGTTGGTCCTGACAACATCCCAGGTCAGGTCACTGAGGGACTGTGCACAACAGCTGTCTGAGCTGTTAGCGGACATCTTCAAAACCTTACTATCACTGGCATCTGTACCCACCTGACTGCCACTATTGTCCCTGTTCCCAAGTGCTCCACACGAGCCCTGCAAAAAAAGGTAATAGTGTGAACATTCATGAAACTCATGGCTAGATACAAGTTAAAATCCAAAGCAACAATCAAAAATAACACACAAAACATGATAAATGCAGTTTTTTTTCCCCAGTCTTTTTTCATAAATATACGGAGTGAAAATAGATAAGACACTTCAAAGAGCTTGTGAGTGTACCTGAAGTAACAGCAGAGGAGGAAACACAGAATCCCTTTACACTCCGCCATTAATGTGGCTACGAAATGTTTACATCTGCGTTTAGACGTAAACATTTACATATTGTAAATATGTTAATATTTAAATATTTCAAATATTAAAATGCATTTCATCGTCTGCACGTGAAATGCAAACAATGAGCTAGCGTCTGTGGGGCCCAGCGCCCCTCAGTTTACAAGAAAAAAAAACAAAACTAAAAAGTTTAAAGAGAAAAAAAAAAAAGAAATGAAATCCCCTCAGCCCCAAACTGGGCCTACTGACACGCCACTGACCAAGTGTGTAAGGTGTGGTCATGAAGTGCTTCAAGAGGCTGGTCATGACCCACATCAAGGGCTGTGGTCCCCCATCAGTAGGGCTACAGTAAGAACCGTTCAACTTCTGATGCCATCATCAGTGGTCAGCAGCACTTGGTGGGAGTTACTGCTCCCACCAAGAGAGCAGTAACTCTTACTTCTGTCTGCTCTTTCTGTATTTCTCCTTGGCTTTCAACATTGTAAACCCTGTTATCATAACCAAAACATTTTTGTCTTGGTTAACAACTTGCCATAGCAGAGATTTTATCAACATTGTCAACTTTATATTAAAGTGTCATTTTTACCAAATGACATTTGATTACAACAGTCATAAATATTCAGGACATCATATATTTTATTTTTATAAAATAATAATATCAAATATTTTTGATTATTTTAATAATATGAATATGGGCCCCCAAACTGACATTATGAAAATAAAATATTTTTATATTTTCAATTTAAATTGAATAGTTATTATTTTAGTGATATTTTGACAGAGTGTTCTGTCTTTGATATTTATTCTCAAGTGACCAATTAAACATATAATTGCAAATTCACATTTTATTCAGTTTTGTGAAAGTTTGAAAAGATTATACTCACAAAAAAACATTAAAGATAAGGAATAAAAACGACAAAGCTGACATGTTTTGTTCTTTCCCCCCAGTTCAAATCGTCAGGAGTGAACAATGGTGCGAAATGATTCCATGTTTGGATGATGAGGGTTGTAATATCCTGATCAAAAAATCGGGCTGGACCTGCACACAAAAAGGAGGCCGAATAAAAACTACCACGGTAGGAGCAGAACTTGTTGGGCTACTGGGATTCTTTACTATCACATGAATGAAAATTATCTTCAACAAAGGGTGAGGGAAAATGGTTTCAAAAACCAGAGAACCAGAGAAAGAATATATTCTTTGTCAATATTGTAATGTTTTACAGTGTTCAAAGACCAGAGTCTTTGAGAAAAAGCCTCAAGAAGAACACAGCAGTTATATAGGAGTGCTTTAGTCTATTCACACAGGTTGACAATCTAGTTACAAAACAGATTGCAAGCATATGCAATCTTTTCATAAAGGAAATTAAACATTAAAGGATGTTCTTGAGGATGGATACCAGACAAACAAGAAATAATTAAACAACTTTATCGTAATATAGGGTTTGGAGAGATAGCGTCAGAAAACTTTCACATGAGCATTACATAAGAATCGTAATATCATTATGCATTGATATACTCATAATCATAGTAACCTTAAACTTCAATTGCATTTCCTCTCTTCTGATACTAAAAAATCTGAAAATTATATACTTAACCCAGTGTTGTCGTACTCAAGGCCGGTCTTGGTCTTGAGACCCATTTTTTGGTGGTTTCGGTCTTGACTCGGGCTGAGGACTCGGGATTTATTTCAAGACCAGTCAAGACCTAAACTTATAACATACTGTCCAGTTTATTTGTTAACATTGTTTTCACTGGATGCAATACGCACCGATTAAAATCCAAGCAATAACGTGACTTACCAATTACGTGTTGTTCTATATGGAACTGTCCATAAGTCTTTAATATAGTGATGTGACATTCATGAACGATCCAAGTCTTCTGAATTTCTCTTGACTAGGAAGACAGGACTAGAGCTCGGACAGCCCAAGGCATGCTGCTTCGGGTCCCCTCGGTGGGGCATGCTTTTTTAGTAATAATTTCTATGCCATTATAATATCAAAAATTCACTTTTTAACCATGAAGTGATTTGTTTTTACAATAATATATATTTGATAATGTAATGGCCAAACATTATTTTTACATAAACTTCTAAGTTATGTGAAACTTATGTCAAAATCATTTGAATGCATAGAATCAGTCTAGTAGAACAATTTTACACTAATTTAGTGTAAATTGGTCATATGACCCACAAGCTATAGAAGAAAAATACTGAATTTTGACCCCAAAAATTCCTAAAATAATATCAAAAGGTTCAAATGCAATAAACATTAGTGTACTTTGTCTCACGAGTCTAGAAAAATAGTTTCACACTGATTTTGAAGCAATGGGGCACATGACTTGGAAGCTATTGAAGAAAAGATACATACTTTTCAAGATTACAGTTATTAAAAATATTGAGTATGTCTAAAAATTCACTAGAGAACAGTGTGTCTGGTGTAACAGCATGAATTTTGTGTCAGTTGGTCACAAGGCAAGAAATCTATTTACATTTGTTTCTTATTTGGTTGGGAAATTTGTTGACTCACTCTAAGTGAACCTCCGAGCGCTTAAGGAGGGAGTGGTAGAGAACGGCTGTCCGAAATCAGCGTTCATAAATTGGATCAACCTTGAGCGAGGCGCCGCTCATTCCACAGATATTGGAATGTCTTGTGCGGTTGTTTTAACGGCACAAACCTGCTCTAACGGAGCAAAAACAAAGTAGCCCACTTTGTGTTGGAGCTAGATGGGGGTCTGGTGAACTCTGGATGACCTAAACATTTTTTTTTTTATATCTCGAAAACAATAGCTGCACAAACCAAGCACTAACGAAGTAGCCCACTCTGGTTTATTTTTGAGCAAGATGGGGGGCTGGTGGCATCATCAGCCAAAATTTTTACTTTTAATATCTTGAAAAAATGCTGTACAAAAAAATGCTGTACAAATGAAAATTTTAACGGCACAAACAGAGCACTAACCACTCACTATTTGCTGGATTTTTTTGACCTGGGTAGGGTGTAAGCTTGCAATTAGGAGCAGAATAAATCAGAAAGTAGGTCAAGATGTTAGTTTCACTTTAAGCATTCACCTTAATGAGGTAAGTGAATATCCATCAGTGCTCAGAGGGAGGAATGGTGTTAGATAAAGTAATGTTATTGTGGGGTGATGACTGCAATATTTGAGCTTCATTTGCAAAGTAAATTGTGTGCAAGCTGTGGTTGTTCAACTTGGACAAAACTTCTGTGGCACACCAGCTTATGGGGTGATAAAACTGTGTTATGGTTATTAATGAATAGTTAGAAAAAGCCTCTAATTGTGTTATTGTGTCATTCTACACCAAAATATGAAATACATGGTAGATACACAATAGTATGACAAGGGGTTGTTGCAGAAATTTTTATCAAAGAATGAGAATCTGTTCCATTAGCTAGAGAAATATTAACATCTCTTCTTTGTCCTTCTAACAACCCTCAATGATATTAAATTGTCCTAACTCCTATTTTGAGTTTTGTCTCAAGTTCACAAATGTCTGATTCAACCCTAGAAAATAAGTTTGAAACAGTTCTCACCCTATGGAGGACATCACTAAGATCCTTACGGAGCCAGGTGATCAGCAGCTGTGGGGACGAGACCTCAGATTCTATAAAGAGATCATGTTTCATCCTGTTTGAATAGCAGAGCCTTCAGCTGGGATTTAAAGACAGACAGCGTGTCAGAGAGTCCTTTTTTTAGTGGGAAATGTGGAAATTTATTCTAAATAGTAGAATCATGTGCATAAGTTGTACATTTACAGAATAGATACTTTCTGTCCATAAAGGCGCATTCACAAAGCAGACCTGGCTCGACTGGAGGATGACTGCAGCTGGAACGATACCAGTGCTATCATTGCCATCATTGACATTTACCTGCAGATCCTTCTGAATCCATTGGTGATGTTCTCCATCAGAGCTAAAGTGCTCCACAATTACGTGGCTCACCTTTGATCAAGGTGTGATTTTCTACACACATTGATCACCTTAAAAATAATCCAACCTGACATTTTTGGAATTAATATCCTGATCCAGCACTCTTTTTTTCTAGTGAGAATTAAATTACCCCATCGATGCATTTTATGCACTTTGTTGCACAGACCAATGCGTGACAATTTTAAGTGACAAAAACTGAGGAAAAGTATTATTTATATTCGAGGGAAATTATTTTCTTTATTTTGTGTTATGAATGCTATCAGAAGGTGCTGCAGTTTCATTGTTTATGTTTAAACAATAAAATATTAAAATTATCAAAAAGAAAACTGAATTTGATGTTTCTTGGTTTAAATAACTGAATGTAGTCAGATTTCAGTGTGTTTAGGTGAGTTGATATTGTCCACAGAAAAGTTTGCATGGCTGCCGCACATTTTCATGCCAGAGAAAAAGTGTGCGTATACTTACGCAAAGTTCATTTTTATACATGTCATCTTGCACATAAAATATGGTGCCACATATTTTCTATGCAGACGCACGCTTAAAAAAAGCATGCATATTTTTTATGCATATGCACGCTTCATACATTCAGAAATCTGAATGTTTCTCTATTACCAGGTGGACAACAAAGCCACATTGTTCCTCGTCAATGAGGAACAATGAGTGGGAAAGTCCAATTTCCGTTGGACTTTCGTTGAAAAAACTCAGAATCTGAGAGCTGACAAGGTGTCTTATTAGAAACCTCTAGTTCTTCCTTACTACAGGAGAACTAAACTCATAGTTAAAAGTGCTCTCACACTTACAGTAACAAAACATTAAAGAAAAACATTTATATAAACAAAACGCTATCAATCCAAATTTAGATTAAATTAAAGTGAAATAAAGTTACAATAAAATTTTCCATTATAGGCTATTGGTATAACTCAGTGTTATCTACTACGGAGCCCCCTAGGGGACATGGGGAATTTTTTTTTCTTTTGTGTCCCCTCGCAAAACATTTGCGTTCCCTCGCAAAACTTTTGCTTCCCCTCGCAAAACATATGCGTTTCCTCGCAATACCTTTTAGATTCCCGCGCAATACATATTACGTTCCCTCCCTTCAATTGAGGAAGCGGTTCATTTTGGAGCAGCACTCAAGACAACAGAAACCTAGAAACAGGTAAATTATCTTAATCCACCATAAATACTGTATACTTAGCAATATTAATATATGTTTACCTTCATTTATGAAATACTATTTCAAGCGAGGGGACGCAAAAGTATTGCGAGGACGCAAAAGAAAAAAAAATCCCCATGTCCCCTAGGGAGCTCCGTATTTTCTGAACCACTGAAAAAAAAATTCTGACTTTTTTTTTTTTTTCCAGTGGCCCTAATCCTCTTCCGTAGTTATCCCCTCAAATATGGTGACTAATTCTTTCCTGATGCTGCTCATTTGTCTCCAGGTCCCCTAACAGTGGCAAAGAGGACAACAGAGTAATTCTTGCTATTGATTAGCTAGTCATTAGCTGCATTCTCCTTGAAAAGAAGCAGACTTTTAAAGAAAAGAGCATGTTGTGAAAGCAAAAGGAATCTAATGCCAGGTTAGGACATTTCCCAAATGCGAATGGTTGAATGTGTCTCTAGTTTCACTTTCAGTTTGAATGGTCAAATGATTGGAAAAGTAATATATGTTAGAATAATTATGTTTTCTTATTCTTCCATAAGTAGTTACCAGTTTGTTCTTCCTATAAAGGTTAGTTTAGTTTTCTTCTCACCCCAGTGAGAAAAGGAATTTGCTAAAGTGTGTAACCTTTCTTTAACCTCCAGCATGTTTTTGCGGCTGGTATTAGGTACTTCTGAGATACTTCACAGTCGTAAAACTGTGTTGCATCCTGTGCTTCCCCCATTCCGTAGTAGGAGAGCCCCCCCTTTCTTTCCTTCAATAAAAGACCAGTTCTGAAGACAAAGGGCAGAACACATGGGAAAGCTGCTGGAAGAAATAGCTCTTCTGTGTCTTCTTCTGCATAAGAATTTATTAAAATTAACATTGTCTGTGGTTCTCTTTTTATGTAGGTCGAGAAAATACCTATCATCTTGGTGCCGTGACCCGGATCTCTCAACATATCTGTTGCTGACAGACGAAGAGACGACACGCTGAAACCGTGCACGGCCAGGCCCAACAAAACCTGGAGAACAATGTCCCGGGAAGTGAATTCTTTGCCAGGCCAGCACCTTAGGTCTGACTTTGTCTGCCAGCAATGGATTGAAGAGGTCCGAACTAATAAGACGAACCAACAGAAACGTGAGTTGTTAAGCGCTTTTAATTTGGGTTGGAGTCCCAATTTAGAGTTAAAGTCCTTAAAATAAATAAAGAAGGGGTTAGAGTCCCATCCGCAATTGGGCGCAAGTCCCAATTGGATTAAAAAAAACCCCAAAACATCAAATAAAAGACAGGAGAGGGTTCGAGTCCCCTCCTTTTGTAAGCCGGTAGGAAATTTATGAGTGTGAGTGTGTGCGTGCATGGTGCTTATTTCTCTGAGAGTAAAACTTTCTGTCCTCAGAATTATAATCCAAAGTTAAGAACTGGATCAAAATTAGTTTGATCTAGAAGCTTTCTTCTTCAGAGTACGCTTAGTGCTCACTTGGAGCACTTTGCAGAAAAAACACAAAATATCTATATTAAGCTAAAACGCAGAGTACTAAAATAATGGAAAGATATTGTGTGGGTTTTAACATGCAGTAACATTAAAGCCAGTGGAGAGAAGTCTCACTGAGAAAAAAACAGAAAATAAAAGGGGGTTCCGGAACCGCAAAAAAGTTTGTAGTGGTCTAATCCTGGGCATAGCAGTTATATTTATAACTTGAAATATATGTAGGAACAACTGTTTTCCATGCCAAAAATGGAATTATGACTTCCCTAAAGAGGAAAGTTGAAAAGTAAATAAATTAAAACAGGTGCAAAAGTGAGAAATGGAAAGGAACAATAAATAAATAAAATACATAAATAAATAAATAAACATTTTTCTCTGAGAACAATGCTTTTTTTTTGTTTGTTTGTTTGTTTTTTTGATGCATTGATTACTGGGTAGAAAAATTACAACACCAATTTGTTGCTATGATCCTTTGGCTGTATGTCTGGAGGGATCAGTGATCAGAGTTTTGGTACCAACCTGGACATTATCCAGCCTCATATCTCACAAAGGCTTAAAATGAGAGGAGGGCTGCTTCACAGCCTCAGCATTAGGATCAGCAAACTGAAAGTAATTCATTGATCTCTGATAAGATGTTTACTCAGACTAAGTTAACTAAAACTTAAATTAACTTACATTCAACATTAAAATCTAACATGGCAAAGGATAAGAGACTGTGTGTTTAACATATTTTATGTTTATATTTGTTCAAATAAGTAAATGACTTCTAAATAAAATGTTGAGTAATAAGTGGATAATCTAAAGAGAAAAAAGAAATATAGATATGACATATATTTAGAAATAAGTAAAAAAACAATGAAAGACAAACTAATCGACTCCTATTTGCTTCTTTCCTTTTCCTCTGTCTGAGCCTTGCTGCGGTGCGTCTGACCTCTGACCTCAACTCAAACCTGTCTTGCCATAGCCGAGATGATGTGCCTCCCTCGTCACCAGCTAATGACAGCGTTCAAGAAGGCAAAGAAGATTAAGAAGACAAAGAAGAGTTCCAACACCTCCAGATACTGGAGTATCTGCTGATCGTAATTTCCTGACACCTGGGAACTGCCATACAGCAAAATACTGTATGGTGTCCTGCTGGACATGTGGACTGAAACTACATTCCTGCGTTTGGATGCAACTGAACTCATACAATCTCCGCTGGTCTACTCCCTGACATCAGCGTGGAGAAGAAAAGATAATGTGCTTCAGAGACGAAGACAACAAACTGAACAGTTTGACACTTGTTTCATTCGTGGACAACATGGACATTGACTGAGGGACAGTCTGGACAACTCACAGATCCAATACCAAAACCAGTTGGCCTGACAGGAGAGCGAGGAGGGGAGAGGACTATGCTGCAGCAACGCCAGCAGCAGGATGAGACAAACAGAAGACAGCTAAAGATAAGTGTATCACACACACAGCTGTTATATACACTGCTACTGCAATGAAGAATTGCTTGCTAAACGTGTACATGTATTACCTAGCCAGAAAAGGAAGTTGTAAAGGCTTTTATTTTCAACGTTAGACAAATTCTCTCAGTTTATCCCTGTTAACTCTGAGTCCTGAGCAGCAGGACCATTGCTAAGGGTCCGTTTTGGTTCCATGAGCCATAGGTTGGGAAACTGTGAAGGGAAAACTGCAATCACTAAAAGTTGAGCAAAGATCTAACGAAAATTATGCCCGTAAGTTACACCAACTAAAAATTATCAAAGATTCTAAGCTAATAATGATTTACAAAAGTTTTCTTTTTCATTTTTAAAGGACTATCTTGGTAATACATGCTAGTTTGGAATTAAAATGAAATATTTCTAAGTATTAAAAACTAACTAATATTGCTGTGATCATAGACCAAAGTATTTATTGTAGTTAAATTGAACAGTTATGAATCTACATTTTATTAAAATGGGTGAAGTGTTTCAGCAACAGGAAATTCAGTTGCTGCTGGATTCTAACACGTCTGAGATAGCTTTTTTTTTATGTGCACGTTACCTAAAACAGGATCCTGACAACAAAAGATAAATATTAACACATTAAAAATGTTAACAAAATAAAAGAAAATTCTTGAAGCTTCAGAAAATCTTATCACAAGTTGAGCAAAGGAAAACAGACTGAAAATCTATGACAGAAAATCTGATCACTTTTTATGTTTCTGTTTGTGTCAACTTGTGTTGATGGAAATGAATGTGAATATGAGAATAAACAGACAGTACTAAAAAACTGAGTAACTGATCAAATTATTAATTATTTGACAATAAAAAGGTAGATTTCCAGCTGGTCTGAAAGGTTAAATGAAATTTTGGTATTTTAAGTAACTAGTTACTCTAAATTGTGAATTAAAAAAAGAAAAAAGAAAAAATGTGTTCTCGACTAAGTTTGAAACCTTTAATCTAAGTTGATTGGTGATTATTAAATTCATAAAAATATTGAATTAGAGGATTTGAGATTTTGGTTTGATTTCGGGATGGTCATTTGAGAAAAAAAGAGTAACACTGTTCTGCAGAAGAGCCAACTCTGGGTTGTGCCATCTGTCAGGAGTAAAACAGAAGTGTTCCATCCTGATGAATTTGATAACATCCACATGTAAGATCTTTAACAAAAATGCCTTTTTGCTAACAGCTCTCCTACAAGCGATGGAACTGCCAGCTAAAACTAGGAGTTTGTAAGTGTGCAGCACACACCACAAGTAAGGATGAGGTTCTATAATAACAAAAAAGTTAGCTGATCAAATGTTAAAAGAAGCAGCAACAGGACAACATAGAACTGGAAACTTCCTAGAGCAAAATGAAGAAGAACTAGTAATAGATAAGCTTGTTTTAACTATCATGCAGCATAATGATACGAAAACAAGAAAACAAATGTGGATAACTAAAAAGGCAATACTGAATAATGATAAAATTTTTCAGGTAAATAAATAAATCTATTCTACCACATTCCGTTAAGTGGCAGCATTTTTTGACACATGGATATTTTTGTCATGTGCCAACAAGGAGGATTATTACTAACACATATGGATTAAAAGTAAAAAAAAATAAAAAATACAATTTAAAAAAAGAATGTATTGCATGACTAGTCTGTGTTAAAAACAATCCTCAAGGAAACATGTGACCAAAAAGAGGAAGTTTCCCAAAACCTTCCTATCAATTCTGGACAATGCATATGAATTTCATTGAACTTACACAAAGTGGACCACATAAATATTGTTTGGTAATGATCAATGCATTTTCTAAATGGGTTGAAATAGTTTCAGCAAAGCATGCAGATGCTTTGATAGTAGCTAAAGCTGTATGTAAAACAATTATTCCAACACATGGAATACCACTAACTATTTATAGCGATATTGGGCCACATTTTGTTAACAAGATGATACAAAATATGGTTGCTCATTTAGGAATGACATTAAAAAACCATTGCTCTTATCATTCACAGAGCACAGGGCTTATCTATGGGGAGAACAAAAGAAACTGTAAGAGTAGATTAAGAAAATGTACGGAAACAATTAAGACACCATGGCCAGAATGTTTAGATTTGGTGAAATTGTACATGAGAATTACACCCACACAGGAAGGATTTACACCATTTGAAATAATTCATAGAAGACAGTAAAGATTACCAATACTTTCTGAAGATTCACAGAAAGCAGATGAGGAACAAACACTGGCAGATTATATGATCAGGAGTTTAAAACACAAAAAGGTGTCAAATGCAAATTTACTGTCCTCTGACTCTGCTCCTCCACAGGAAGCTACTCTTATCAAGCCAGGAGCCTTGGTGTAAATCAGAGTTATAAAAAGGAAGAGATGGGCCAGTCCATTGTGGGAGGCTCCATTCCAAGTGTTGATAACGACTCCAACTGCTATAAAGATTTCTGAAAGACCAAGCTGGATTCATTTCAGTCACTGTAAGTTGCAGAGAGTGTTAGACTTCTAGATTTGAGTGAAGGGGAAGCCGAACTACAAAGGGAATTTACAAATATAGAAGTAAATTGTCTCAATGTCCACAGAAGAAATCAACAGATCCTCACTCTGTTAGCCTAAAAGTTCTGACATCTCTGTAATCTGAGCAGTAAGGCCAGGTGGAACCCCTGCTGTGCTGTGGCTACAGTATGTTTATTGCTCGGTAGTGGGGGCTGCCTCAGCCTCAACAAGATAAGGAGAGAAGCAGACACATCCTTCCCCAGTCCTATTCATATGACTACAGCTCCTGTTCATCAGTTGTCACCACAAGTTGGAGCTGTAGTCATATGAATAGGACTGGGGAAGGATGTGTCTGCTTCTCTCCTTATGAGGTGAAGGAGACCAACTGCTATCAAGGAGACATCCAGGCAAATCGTCTACTATGAAGGACGGTTGGGAAAACCAAAACTATTCCAAATCATTTCCCACAACACCACTGGCTACCGCTCCGTGTTCCCCTATGAGTGACACCAGGCCCCTGCTACAGATGGACCTCAGACTACCAGAAGAAGGCAGACCTTTTCAACTGTAGAACCTGCCAAGAGATGAACCACGTCAGTACTGCCTGGTTCATAAGATGGAAGTCTGACCGTAACGGTACCAAAATTAACCTTCTTAAGGTGAGGATGTTCGACAACGGCAGCAAGACCAGAAAATGTCAGAATTCCACCATTTGAAGCACCATCGTTCCAGGGAACAAAGGATCCAGGACAATGGCAGACTTGTATTTTCTATGTGGACACACTGCTTATGCTTCTCTTCCGAGGAATTGGAGAGGACTGTATGTGTTGGTTCCCCTGTCCAACCCAGTGACTTTCCTGAAAAAGGTTCAGGATGTCCACAGTCATGGACTCCACTGTACTAGGACTTTTGCCAGAAGTCCAAAAGTGAGGAGGCATCACTACAAAAACTTGGAGTTACTTGGAAATTCAGGATCTGGAGCAGTGAAGAAAAAGGTAATGCAAGGCCTATCACTATGGATGGGAGTAGCTGAAGTTTAAGACCATGTTGAGATCAACAGATATGCCCTGCTGCATCTTAACAACAACGCCAGATAGCAAACGGCACCTCAAAAGAGCTGACTGCATTGAGAAACATGGTTCTGCAAAACCATGTTATGTTAGATTTTCTTACTGCCTCTCAAGGAGGCATCTGCAAAATCATAGGCTCCCAGTCTATACATTTATCCCAGACAGACAGGACCTGGTGGAGCTGTTCATTACGCACTCCATGAATTGGAAGAGCTTCAAAACTCTTCCAAATGTGGACAGTGCAACTCAGGGGTTACAGCTTTTTGACTTTCTTTCTTGGCTCACCTCTGGACCCTGGTGGCAGCTTGTGTTAAAGATCGGAACACCTATCTTGACTGTACTGATCCTATTCTGCCTGTTCACAATCTGCATCATTGCATGTCTTCATAGCATGATATTAAAAACTTTTAACACTGCTCTTATCAGATATCAGATGGTCAGGGTACTCTCTGACACGGATGAAGACTGTATAGGGCTCCAAAAGAATGACGATGAACTAAAAGCTGGAACATAAGATGACGTTCTGTAATGAATGAACAGATCAAATCATTTGCTTAATGATTCCTACACTGAAACTGTGCAGACAAGTGGTGTCAGTGATGAACAAAATATGCATTATGTTCTTACTGTTTCTTTTATACAGCAACATAATACATATATGTATTCTATTTTCCTTTCTTTTAGATTTTGCAAACTGTTGTGTAAGAATTATAAACAGGGGGAAATGTTAGAATAATTATGTTTTCTTATTCTTACATAAGTAGTTACCAGTTTGTTCTTCCTATAAAAGTTAGTTTAGTTTTTTATCACCCCAGTGAGAAAAGGAATTTGCTAAGGTGTGTAACCTTTCTTTAACCTCCAGCATGTTTTAGCGGCTTTAGGACAACGTCTGAGATACTTCTCAGTCGTAAAACTGAGTTGCATCCTGTGCTTCCCCCATTCCTTATCAGGAGAGCCCCCCTTTCTTTCCTTCAATAAAAGACCAGTTCTGAAGACAGAAGGCAGAACAAATGGGAAAGTTGCTGGAAGAAGTAGCTCTTCTGTGTTTTCTCCTTCTGCAGAAGAATTTATTAAAATTAACGTTGTCTGTGGTTTTCTTTTTATGTAGGTTCAGAAAATATCAGTCCATTACCTTTCCCTGTGCTATGTGCTTTTGGCTCTTGCACTCACAGAGCAAGTATAGAAGAATGTCACAGAGGTGGCCAAAGATGGCATGAAGGATATCCACCACAATTTTATGTTATCCAATGCCACCATGAGTAGCCACAGTGGAGCTTAGAAGTTTACATATTTACATATCACTTGTATAAATCTCTTAATATATTTGGGCTTTTAATCATGCTCCTGAAAGATACTATGTGTACCATCTATTCATATCCAATAAATTAGAATATGTGTCCCAATGAGACTTGTATGTCAGATTGAAAGTAGCTTTTAGTTTGGTTTTGGATTTTTGGTGTTCCTTAGTTTGCAGTGTTTTCCCATTTCTGTTCTTCCTTAATGATTATAGGAATGTTTTGCCTGTTTATGTTTCTTTAGTCTAAGTTATACTTAATGTTAGAATTATTTCCTGTTTCTTGCCTCACTCTCCTTTGTCACATTCTCCTCCCCTTCTTCTCTATCTGCCTGCAATCAATTTACTCATCAGCCCTGGTCTTTGTTCAGATTTTGCCTTCCTACTATTTAAGAGACTCTCTTTCAGACAGTAGTTGCCAGTTCATCTTGTTACTCTCCTCAGCTTCCCTGTGTTCTCCTTATGTCTCCAGTTAGGCCTTGTTTTGGATTTTCCTGTTGGACTTTCTATGTTTTATAAGTTGTTTTTTTTTTTTTTTTATTAAATATCCACAACTGATCTATGTCTCCTGGCTGCTGCATTTAGGTCTGGATTTAAGCACACATTTGTATAAATCACTTCTGAAAATATCAACCTTTAAAACAGGCACCAAACATATTTCTTATTGTGCCCTCTTTTCTGATTTTAAAAATAGCTTTTTATTGGTCTGTAATACTCTTAAACATCATGCTTTAAGTAGCTGTCAGTGGAAAATTGTAATTGATAGAAATAAAGGGTTTCAAACATCCATCTGTGTACTTAATATATGTAACATTTTTCACTTATTCAGTAATATTCAAGTTTATTTAAGGGGTCTGTTTCTATTTGAAAAGTTCAAGAACATAGAGGTAGTCCGTTTTTATTGTGCAATGCCAATAACAAAACATCTTAACATGCTGCTACCAACAAGCTTGATCGTTGATAAGGTGATCCTATGATCACCTTATCAACGATCAAGCTTGTTTAACCTATGTTAAAAGGCCAGGAAACTGTTTCACAAAAATGGGATTCTGAAATCGAGGATAAGCCATGAAGCCAGGCTTGAGATGCCGTCATCAGTTCCTCGTGGCTTTATATGTTTTATGAAGATCAAACCAGGCTCAGAAGGTGCAGCTGAAAGAGGCAGGCTTAAATAATTCAAGTAACAGCATATCCACAGATTTCTTGAAAAAACCAAGGAGACCGTGGTTAAAAAATAGTATAGTTGAGTATATTTTGAAGATGCTGTATTTTTCTGGAGTACATTTTTAGTACATTATAAAGTGGAAATAGTTTAGACTATGCTAAAAGTATAAATTTTTTAAAAGTAGAAGCATGTTCTTAAAAATGCATTTCTATTGTTTGTGGTACACTTTCTAAGATATACAGTACTTAAAATTCTAATTATATTATTAACGTTATACTTTGGATAATTATTATAAAATGACACTTTGCATGTATAAATGTAGATTTTTGAATGTGCATTTTAAAAATATATTACAAATATATACAAACAATACTTTTGTGAAGTTGTACTTTTGCTAGTATTTTCAAATAGGTTCTGTGAACATTTTAATAAATCTTAAATCTCAAAATAAATACACTTTAATATCTGTAAGTACTTTGTTAATAGCATCTAATAATTAGAGATGAATTATATTTCGATGAAACACTTTCAGTGTTTACATACATGCTACTTTATGCTAACTAAGGATGTCTTACTGTGTGGTTAAGTAATCTTTTCCTTTTTTTGCTAAAAGGGCAAATATATATATAGCCTCGATGAGGCTGTGGAAAACCACCCTTGAAGCCAACTGCAAACCACTTGCACAAGTGTCCATCAAATGTGGCATATACCAAGGAGATGCTCTGTCCCCGCTACTGTTCTGCATAGGCCTGAACCCCCTCAGCCAAATTATCAACAAGACTGGCTACGGATACAGACTCAAAAATGGGGCCAACATCAGTCACCTTCTATACATGGATGACATCAAGCTGTACGCCAAGAGTGAGCGAGACATCGACTCACTGATCCACACCACCAGGATCTACAGCACGGACATTGGGATGTCATTCGGACTAGAGAAGTGTGGTCGGCTGATCACAAAGAGGGGGAAGGTGATCCGCACAGAAGGAGTCTCACTCCCACAAGGAACAATAGCAGACATAGAGGACAGCTACAAGTACCTAGGTATACCACAAGCAAATGGCAACCTCGATGAGGCCACAAGGAAAGGAGCCACAGCTAAATACCTCCAATGAATAAGGCATGTCCTGAGAAGCCAGCTCAATGGCAAGAACAAAATCCGTGCGATAAACAGCTATGCCTTGCCAGTAATCAGATACCCTGCTGGAATAATTAGCTGGCCAAAGGAGGAGATAAAAGCCACAGATATTAAGACTAGAAAGCTACTAACCATGCATGGAGGGTTCCATCCCAAATCCAGCACCCTGAGACTGTACACGAGCCGCAAGGAAGGAGGCAGAGGACTAGTGAGTGTGAGAACCACTATCCAGGACGAAACAACTAAGATCCATAAATACATCAGGGACAAAGCCTCAACAGACAATGTGCTCAGTGAATGTCTCAGACAACAGGGAATGGAGGTTGAGGTGCCAGAGATACCATCATGGGAGGACAAGCCCCTACATGGGATGTACCACCAGCAAATAACCCAAGTGGCTGATATCAGTAAATCCTATCAATGGCTGGAAAAAGCTGGACTCAAGGACAGCACAGAGGCCCTCATCCTGGCCGCCCAGGAACAGGCCCTAAACACCAGAGCAATAGAGGCCCAGATCTACCACACCAGACAAGACCCAAGGTGTAGGTTGTGCAAGGAGGCCCCTG